AACTGAATGAATATCACTCAATTATCACCGAATTTGCAGTGAAACACCAAATTTCAAACAACATATCCCCAACATATCTCCCAATATATTTCTTGGACTGAATCTATGACATTTCAATCGCAGCAAACAGAATGTGGTATTGATTACGAAGCCTTCAAAACCACCAACCTTCAAATGCGACAATTTAGCCACATCAAATAAAGCGTTAACAGCGTCAATGTTACCTCGGACGTTCGTCCACAAGAGATTCGATTCCGAACGACGACTTTTCACATTAGACTCCTGGAAATTTCTTCTCTCTTGATATGCATCGAATTGTATACGTACAAGAACCTTCCATACTCAATGAATTCATCAAAAAATGTTAGAAGTACGCAAACAATTCCTGAAAAACAAAAGTAAATGAGAGGACATACTTCGCGCTCGTTGGAATGATTGCTCTGATTGCTCGTTGGTTTTTCGGTGGTTTTCCCTGACGTAGGAGCTAACGGTTTCCTCTTGAGGAATTTCTCCATGAATGCAATTTCGTGACAATTGCCGTATTCCGGAACAGTTTATCGACATTCACAATATGTCGTAAACCAATAGATATTCGAAATGAAGCAAATGGCGCGCAAGTGAACGTACACTTTCACGTAAACGCTCGACGCCAAATGCTAAAATGCGAGAGTTATGCCACACCAAACATGGTTACACACATTCCCCCCAACAACTCCATAATCCCAGAAACAAATTCAGAGATTTTTCCAATTGGATTTCTTCAAAAAATTCTCAAACACATATTATACATCCACTGATTTTGTTGTTTTACTTAAATTCCCAGCTTTCGACAAGAAAAACGAACGCAGTGAATTTTTCAGGACGACATGAGCATTGAGAACATAATAATGTGAACATCTTGAATTTTCAGATGCTCCCAAAAAAAGGCGCGATTTTCAAATTACGTGACACCGAGCGTTACAGACAAAACACTTTTACATTTTCAAACGGGAAGAAAAAAGGCCAAGTTGTTCGCTAGACGGGTGCCGATCTCCGTTTCGCGAAACAACTGGCCTATAGATACCTCTCGGTTGTTTCCGGCCCGCAACTACCGACAACCCACACCCAAAAGTGCAAGAGTAGGCAGATTGCTACCGATGTCAGAGTGGCGAGGCACCCACCCATTGAAGAGAATATTACCTACTCGAAACCCGTCCCAAACCTCAACCATCGACAATAATGCCTCGCCATACTCTGTCCCAACCGAAAGGCATCACACGAAAGAGCTATAAAACCAGCTCTTTCGTCAGAATACAACAACACATTAAAACTTTATACATCCCTCACTCTTCGCAGAGAATTATGAGGGTTTCGCGAAAATAAATGTTACAAATGCATCACCATACTATACAAAATCATAAAATTCATCTCTTTATCACAAAATTTTCACGTTCTTCTTCCTGCAGCCGTTCGCTGCGCACCTCCTTTCACCGCGACCATCTGGACTGATATCGAGTATCCCTGAAAATTTACTCTCCAGTTTCAACTGGAATTTTTCTAAAATGTCCACGTTATGTAAACCATGGTACGCTAACCTGTTTCACACCGAATTCCACCCAATCCACTAAACTTATTCCCTCTGAACTCGCTCAACAATTTACCCACCTATTCAACTGGCCTTTTCAATTCTCCATTTTTAACAAAAGCCATTGTCAGAGGTGCATTGTCATCGAATTACATTACCGTTTTCTTTCCGGAAGTGCAAATTGAGAGGAGAAATTTCCTTTAAGATTGTGTTAAAGAGCGCGATGTCCTCGTAGATCGAAGATTCCCACCTCCCTGTCTCTCTTTTCCTAATTTCTAAGTTATTGAGAAGGATGGCAGATTAGTATTCCTCAGTGTACACTGTAGAACATTAAAAACTCAAAGCTATATATGGAATAAAATTCCGGAATAAAAGGCCAAAAGCTACAAAGGCGGGACTCGAACTTCACCGTGCCACACCGTAAGGGAAAACACTACCATTACGCTAGAACGCACCTAACATTGCAACTCTCCACAGAGTAGACAAAATTGGATTGTGGAAAAACTACCATCCTTCTTTCCCCTGCCATCCGAATTACACAATCTTTACGTAAAACTACACACAACAAAGAACGATAATGAAAA